AATTGTATTTCGGCACCCCGGGTTGCCAGTTGGCGGAAAACACAGCGTATTTCATTTCATTCATCTTCAAATGCGCTCGTTCCTGTTGGTGTCGTCAATCTGGCAACCTGCGTGTGCGTCAAGTCTGAGGAGGGGGGGCCGGGTGAAATAACCCTCTCCAATATTTTGAATTTGGACTGCAATACCTCGTTCAACCACTCGGCGTCAATCCTACATACAGCACCTTTAAATTGTTTTCCGAAGATGAACGTAGGTCTTACGGGTTTGGAACAACACGAGGGTGAGTAATTAAATGACAGAATTTTCATTTTTGGGTGAACTAACCGTTTTAACAACCACACAGCAATGCCATTACAATCACCTACAACACCTATGGCTTCCTTGGAGAACAAACGAATGCTGCTAATCTGTGGTTGCCAAACACTGTCAGATCATGTAGGGCAGACATTATCAACCAAGTCCCAATATTTAAGCAGTAATGAAAACTGTCTAGGAGGGAAAATACCATCTGATTATTTATTTACAAATCATTTCGTAAAAAAAAAAAACGAAATCATGTGAAATACAACAATATTTACCAGACCATGTCGACAGCCTGATCTGCTGAAATAGAAAGGAATGCCAGACTGGATTTATGCGGTTTGTTTCCCAGCTAAACGGAGAGGTCTGCCACTCAGCACATTTTGAATCTGTTGATAAGCTACTGTGGAGCTGAAGACTATCATGAACTTGTTTTCCATGAAACTGCGGCATCCTCCCGGGTGCTTGTGCATGAGGATGAGACTAAAACATCTTTACTGTTGATTAGAGGAACAAAAGATTCTAAGTGGTTCCAAAAATTTCTATTGAATCTTGGGAAATCTAAGCGCCATTTTAGAAAGCCACTTTTACTTATTAAAACACAAAACATGACAACAGATGCATATCAAATGCAGCCTTTCTATTATGTTACACTCAAAATGACAAGCATAGCTGGCGGTTTTGTGGTTCTGTTCCATTCTGCATCATACTTAATATAATTGTATCACTTGACCTTCTCCAATTCTATTTACACTGATGCTGTTGATTTTCTTGTCACGCTTAGAAACGTACTGTCTTGTAATGTAAGAATGATCCTCAAGCACTTTAGTTAGCTGATGGTTATCTTGAGGTCTATCTGTGGTGTTTTAAGGTGTTTAATACATGTTTTTATCTCATGAGGGTTCATGTAATGAGTGTTTTTGTGATGTTGTCAACAGTTTAAGACAACGGGCAATTAGTTCTCCATGTACACTGCTGTTCAAATGTTCGGGGTTGGTAAGATTTTTTAATGTTTTAGACAAAAGTCTCTTATGCTCACCAAAGCTGCATTTCTTGATCAAAAATACAGTAAAGGAAAAATGAATACAATTTAAAATCAATTTTAATATGTTTTAAAATGTAATTTATTTCTGTGATGTGAATTAGAATTGTCAGCATCATTACTCCAGGCTTCAGTGTCACATGCTCCTTCAGAAATCATTCTAATATGCTGTGATGCATTTTATATTCATCAGGATTTTTTGATGAATTGAAAGTTCAAAAGAATTTTTTTGAAATATAATTTTTTGTAATATAACAAATATCTTTACTGTCACTTTTGATTAATTCAATGTGCCTTTGCTGCAAAGTGTTCATTTCTTAAAAAATAAATACATAAATAAAACTTTTGAACAGTAGTTTACATTGCTTACTGAAATGTTAATGAGACACAGCTCATAATATTTCAAATAATTAAAAATTGCATGTAAATCTTTTTAGAACAAAAACAGAAAGAGAATTGTTCAGATGATAGCAGATTTTAAGAAATAGCATTGTTTGTTCTGCAAACATCTCATTTTTAGCAATGTAAATTACAAAATAGAAGGAATTTTTGATGGCCCTGTTTTTTAACTTCATTTATTCTAGTGAAGCATGAGCCATTTGATACACTTAAGCGCATGATTTGTCACAAGATACCTTGTAATCCAACACTGTGATGACACTCAGACCAGATTATCAGGTTTGATCAAATCAAGGTTGGTCGCCACAGAAACTGAGCAACTCAAATGTGTAAAATATATTTGTTTTATCCTCCTCTCGATTCCCTGTGATTCATATCAGAAGCCTGTTTTTGTTTTGCTTCCAAATTGCTTTCTATTCTATTGGACTCACGCTACACAAAACTCCAAACATGCTAACAACCACAGCAGTGCTCTGGAAACCACCCACAACTTTCGCACAAGCAGACGACACTCATTTTGTTTGTTTGAAAAATGGCAAAATAGAGTAGCACTCACCCGGCAGTCTCGCTGTAGCGTCTTCATCAGGGCGTTATATGTCTCTGTGTCAAAGTACAAGCCATCATGCATGTCCACAAAGTCTAGGTCCTTATATGTGGGGCAGGCCTTTTCCCGCTCTTTTCATGATGCCCGTCTCTTGTACGTGGAGCCTTTAAGATCATATTTGTAGTGCATCTTTAAAGACCGAGGCAGAACATTGTTCATAACCACAAGACGAATGTTGATTCCTCCAGATTGAACGCAGTACAGGCCGTAGAACTTGGGGAGGAGAGTCCTTGGGTTCTGGTTGAGGTTCTGAGGAAAACAAGAGCTTTAATTAAAGGAAATGCCATTTATATACTTCTTAAATACTTTCTTCCATGTTAATGTTTATAGTCAACTGTGAGTCATACTGTGGCTCTTTGACGCTATCAAAACACTGTTGTTCATGTGAACATCCCGACCAGCCTAATGCAACAACACTAATAAAATGTTCAACCAATGACAGACAGTTCTGGAAAGCTTTTTGGTTTCATACTTCACCTTTAATTTTGATCTATAACAGCAAGTCAGACTTCTGAGTTTGTACATAAACAATCTTTTCAAGTTATGCAACAGAAAAATCAGGTTTGTTAGTCAGTTATTCATGACTATTAGCAATAATGTTTACATATATTACTGAACTGGAATGGTTGGAAAAAGAGACACAGAGGACATATATATGACCTCACTATAAACAATAGTCCTCTATGTCAGTGTAGCGAATCAGCTCATGGGGAAATATGAATAATTAATCATAACTAGTTATAATTAATTATAAATATTTAGATCCGCTGTAGATATTTACTTGACCTCTCAGGGTCAACTGTCTGTCAATTCTAAGAACGTTAATTTCCTGGTTAAGGGAAATAACTTTCTTACTGTACAACTCTACACAGAGCCTGTAGCATAAATCTGCAGTTATGAGCAAACAATGACCAACGTCAAGTGTGATACAAGTAAGAATTTATTAACTACATAAACACTTAAACTAGTCTAACACACTACATAAACACTTAAACTGGTCTAACATACACACAAACACTTAAACTGGTCTAACATACACACAAACACTTAAACTGGTCTAACATACACACACACACACACACACACGCATACAGTTGGTATAGGAAAGGGTTAAAAGCTTAACGCAGTAAAGAGAAGAGAAAAAAGAATATGAAGTTATGGAACCATTTGCATATTCAGCAGATCTACACCTGAGGGAAACGTCAGATTCTTAGTTCAAACACACCTTTGTAAAAAGGTGCAAATGATACCTAATGTATCAATTAATAAGACTAAGTTTGAATACTTGCACGTCTCGTCTGTCTGAAAGAGAGGCTTGATGCAATCTGAAGGCTCACGTGGATCTTTGCTGAAGTTGGTTGATGAAAAAGAACCAGTTTGAGTCAGAGAATCTTGGTGAATGGAAAAGTCAAGGCCGAAGCCTGGCACGAACTTAGGGTGTCCTGGAGCGTTTGCTCACATCTTCATCTTCTCAGAATTCAACAAAACCACCGACTAGGGCGGGTCACTGATGTGAGGCCTTTAAGGTCTGAGAAGATTCACGCCTCTCAAGATGGCTTGTCCAATGAGAAAGGCTGACGTCCCAAGCGGGAGGTTGAACATACTGGAGGGTTTTACGACCCTTTGTCTCTAAGCATGGTAATTTGCAAATGGAACTTGAATCGAAATTACTAAAGATTCTCAGGACACTAATATATTGCCTATGTACCAACATATAATATACACGCTCGTTTAGATCATCAGAAGGCGAATTCATAGATACTAAACATGGTAGGATTACATATAGGTAAGATGACAGGAACGAGTGGTTCCATCATAAGCCTGCATAAAACAGTATAAAATCTCAAAGACAACATACACAATGACCTGAAGGATATGTGTGTTCATTCAAAGAAAGGTTTTCCTATGGATTAATTAGAAAAGAGTCAATTTCTACAGTGCACTGTGTCTCTTCCTTATGAAAAAGGCAGTGATTTTCCCTACTTACATTCCATTAGGTCGTAAATGGATCTGGTCTAACAGAGGTGTCGTGGTTGCCATGGGTACCAGGGGGGGGCCTGGTGTCGTTGCAGACATCCTGGCACCCAGTTTATTGGGTGAGGGGACTGTGACGATTTGTTAATCTAATGAATAACTGATTTGTTAAATCAAATGAAAAATTGTGTGTTTGATTGGTCCAGACGCTACATCAGTAAGAAACCTAAATATATGTATATAACACTTACATTAAGCAATGAAAAATAAGTGTATAAATATGCGTTTTACATTGAGATTAATATATAATGCACTGTGACAGTGACACAATGGTCTACCCTGGTTTCTACAAATATACATGCAAAAACTTTGAAATATTTAAAAAAATAATCCTATTTAAAAATAAATAAATAAATATATATATATTACATTTATATATAATTATTGTATTTTGTTTTAAATAAAAAGGATATAAAATACACTTTTGGCTGGTTAGAAATAGTTGTGGCTCATTTAATCCACAAAAAGTAGCTTCACAATAGTGAAGCTGATGAGAAAGGGTAACTTGAAATCAACAGCCATTTGAAAACACCAGTAGTAACCCTCTAAAATAGAATAGATGAGGGAGAACAGAACAATCTATACTACTGAGTCACAGTGTTTTACTCAGCTTTCTTCACTGAGGAGATGAATGAGTCTGTACTCTACTGAGACTTACCATGTAGTATCCTGGAAGCAGTTTTTGCAGGAACTCTGCCTCCTTGTGCTGGACGGTTTTGATGATGAACTCATCATCGCTGGTCAGGTAGAAGAGCGAGCCGCTGGCACCCGGATTAGACAACTCAATCAGGGGCTCTTTACAAATGGCATACTGCAGGATTACAACAAAAACAATCCATTAAAACAGTCTTTAAATAGAGCACAACAGTATGGGCCCAGAAGTAAAATTAAATTAAATTACAATCAGATTTAAAAAATAAAAAAGTAAATAATATATATGTATATATGTATGTTTGATTTAATTGTGACAGTCCCTATAAAGCAAATTAATAGAAACCAAGGCCGCTGAAAAAGTGGGCGTCTGAAATGCTTAAGACCACAGATAAACAGTGTGTGCAATTTATAATGAGGTACTCTGGGACCTTTACAAAAGAGCATCTATTTTTACCTGTGTTTTAAAACACCTAATCACCAATTCATATTTATGTTAAACTGGCAACAAAGAGTAAACCCAAAAGAAAGGAGTTACTCATAACACATGACTTATAAAATATCACCAAACTGACTGGCTGCAGTATACTGAATGTGTTTTCTAAAAACAGTTTGCCTTACACACTAAGATCAGATTATTAATGCCTGGAAGTCCCGTGGTTTAATTGGGGTTGCATAAAAAACCCTAACATTATGAGGTCTTAAAGCAAACATTTCTACTGAGTTTTCTGGCGGGGTTCCCTGAGGAGGCTGGGAGCAGCAGCAGCATGAGGACAGTGTTGAACTGAAGCCAGACACTCATATTCAAGGCCTGCCAAATGAAAGTCAACAGTCACGTTGTACTTCCAGCCCAAACACATGGACATTTGCATTTGGACTGCGTGTCATCCTGCGTGCATGGGGCTTTTTAATTAGCTTGCGCTTCCTCTGCCCTATCTACATAATTATAAAAATGTACACAACAAAATCAGAAGAGCATGAAACATCACTTTCTTTCATCTTAGCCTGACCATTTTCTACTGCGTTTTAGACCTCACTCCTACTTTATACAGACATTTGAACGTTTAGTGCCCAGTTAACAGTACAAAACATTCTTCCTTGTACTAAAGAACTTAAAGGAATAGTTCACCAAAAAATACAAATTTGCAGAAAATTTACTCACCCTCAGGCCATCCAAAAAAGTCCATGCCCTGTTGCCCTATCACACCTAAATCCACAACATATTTGTTTAGAACTTTTGTTTTGGACTTTTTTCATTTGATCTGTGCATATTTCTCCCCTGATTCAGACTAGATTACTTTTTCACTGGAGTAGGGATGGAACGATTACCGGTTTCACGATAAATCACGATAAAATGCCCTGACGGTTAGTATTACCGTTTAAAATTTAATTATCATCAAAACCGTGTTTGATTATCGCGCTTTTGAAAACTCTGTCCAGCCAGCATCAGTCTGACGCAGAAGCAGCATGCAGTGTTGTTGTTGTTGTTGTTTTTGCACGAGACGAAATGGCGGAAGGCAGTGACAGCGCTCGGGAGATTTTTCAGCCATCTAAGAGGACCAAATCGGTGGTCTGGTCGTATTTTGGCTTTTACAAGAGTCCTGAAGGCAATTTAATCGAGGACGGTCACCCTGTCTGCTGATCTTGCAAAAAGAAAGTCGCTGCAAAAGGGGGAAACGCATCAAATTTGCTCAGTCATCTTCGTGACCACCACCCACTGTTATATAGCGAATGCAAGGTAACTTTTACCTCAATACCAAAACTAACTGGGCAAATAATTGGACAAAAAATATTGATTAGAGATTAAATATTTCGTTATCTCACTTATAATTAACGCAAAGCTTCCGCAAAGAAAAGTTCGCAGCAAGTGGCTTTGAGCCAAGACAAACGAACGTTCAAACTATAAGGTTGACATTTAAGGGATAATGTATTGTATATTCATACTTAACTTATTACACGGATTTTTTTTTTTGTTTACCTAAAATAATATATAAATACGGGGATATGAAATATTGAATTGAGATTAATGTTTTGAAATCTTAACCGTTTATAAATCCATTATGAACAGTGTACAAAACAATCGTCAGGACAATATGATCACTACAGCAAAATTATAGTAGTATTAATACTAAATTCCTCCGATTTCATTTTCAATACAATCAAAAACTGAGACGCAAGACGGCAAGCTGCATTTGAATGAAACGAGAGAGCGCATCCGCCGCCTCTGCGGTGATACAAGAGACATGGGGCGAATTCCAAACAGAAGTGAGCATCCCTATGCCCTACTCCCTTCGAAGGGCAGAGCCCTTGAAGTGTGTTCTTTGAAGGGTGCAGGGCATTACTGTCTCGTATAAGCGTTTGAAACTCCCTTGGCGAAGGGAATGACTGACCAAATGTTACCTTGACAACGCTGCGCGTGCGTGCAGCATTCAGTACTCCATCAGTTGTTGCAAATAAATATTTATTATTATTATTATTATTATTATTATTATTATTATTATTATTATTATTATTATTATTATTATTATTATTATTATTATTATTATTATTATTATTATTATTATTATTATT